CCGCATTATCTCATAGAGAGCATCAATGATGCAATCGAATCCAATCTTACAGCGGTTCAGCGCGCCTCCCCAAATTGGGTGGCACATCGCAGCCTCTCGGGGCCGCAGAAGCTGAACTACGGGGATGAGGAAAATGAAGATATTATTATTTCTTCCTGTGGGAACTTGATGGGCACCGCCCCTAGCTGGTCACTGCTTAATCTGTTCAACTATTCGTTGTTCAGAATTGCGTGGTCCATTTGGAGCGATCGTGCCCTACGGAGAAGGTATCCTGAGTTGGTCTCCGCCACCGCTTCACGGTCCGATAAGTATCGTACCCCAGCGGTTTGGCGGAAGTTATTACAGGTCACCCGGCTGGTGATCGGTTCAGAGGATGAGCTGAAACATTGTTTTGGCTATCCTCGGTCTCTCCCGAAGTTTAACACATTGTGCGCACTGTGTGGAGATGATCTGGCTGCTGTTTGCCCGTTAGGGGTCGCTGTCGTTTACGAGCTTCTTTTGGAGCTGGCGAACGGTCGTGCTTCCCCAGGCAAACATTATATACAGCCCTTCCGGCCGGGCTCCTACATGCTATTAGCAGAGGAGTTCCTTTCTATAGGAGAATTACAAGAAACGATTAAAGAAATAGAATCAGGAAATTTTGATATGGACAACGATATTGTATTTTTAACAAGAAAAGAAAGGGAATTAGGATCCGACGGTGGAAGAACTTACTGCTCTCAAACATTTAGACAACGTTTGCAACAGACTGTATGTGAAGGCAATATCAAAAAGAGCATTTTTCCATATTTCCCTCAACAAACCATGTCCGATTCTGAATTAGCAGAATTAGCAGAACAAGAAGGTAGCAAGTATGTTGAAAGTCCAGAAAGAAAATGGAGAGATTTTCAACTTCGACTTAGAAAAATGGAACCAATTTCAACTAGCCCCTTCTGTTGATCCCATTGCAAATGATATCAATGATTTATTTGGTTTTAGACATCTTTTCTTAGACGCGCATAACTGGTTACAACGTTGTTATGTGTTGCGGAATAACAGACTCACTCCACCTAGAATATCATTTGATCAAATAAGGCCACCTAATTATAGAACTGCCAGGCATGGTCAAGAATTTTTAGAACAGACCAATTTCATAACAAACACAGAAGATTCCAGAAATTATCTTCCCGAGATAGGAGAAAACTGTCATATAGGACAACTAGGGGGATTAGAAGGCATGAAACAGAAATTATGGCATAATGGAACATCATGCACATTTCTTCCTGCAGCAGAAATGCACAGATTAAATGTAAACTTAATGGAATCCGCTGACAATCAAACTCTGGCTCTAAAATATAGACCATCTCAAAGACATAGAACCTCAACAATTAGAGAGGAGTTCTTGAACACTCTAGACTCATTGTTCAAAGGACAAGGACTAAGACTAAAACAAGAAAAAACATGGGTATCCACAAGATTATTTGGGTATGGAAAGAAACGGTGGTTATACGGAATACCTATTTCCAACGGCACAAAGAGAGCCATGAGAATTATTTCGGAAGAAAATGACGGTGTACCCTCTATATGAATCCTCTGTGAATCCTCTGTGAATCCTCTGTGAATCCTCTATATGTTTACTAGCTACATCAACAGAAAATATAGCCACATATACTCAAACTGCAGATACGGCTTTTATTATAAATCTTATAGAACTATTCATACTGATTTTCCGGAAAAGAATCTTAGATCTCGAGGTCATAAAAAATGTAGTAAATCTAGACGAGAAGATATCTCTGCTAGCCTGCATTTCATTCTGGCCAAACATACTGGGTGGATTACCCATTTCATCCTACGCTAATCATAATATTCGAGGTCTAGATGATAAACTTACATTATGGCTGAATCTATATAAAACAGTTAGAAATCAACAAATTAATCCTCATCTTTGGAAATGTATAATGCAGTTAGTTCCACTTGTCCACAGGAAGGAGAAAGATTATAAAAGATTAATTGAAGACATTTTTTCATTAAATATCCCTACTTTACCTGTAGCTAACCTAATAATTAAAGATATTGTCCAAGAGTATATACCTATTTATGCAACAAACCCAGAAATAAAAAAGATTTTAGCCCTTGATATCAGTGGAACTGAGGCACTAATAGACTACTTAATGTCAATGAACCCACCGGATTCACCTATCATACATGAAATATTTCGTAATTCTAATACAGGAACTATAAAGAATCTCCAAAATAAATTAACTAATGTTTAATCCATCATAAAGATAACACAAGAAGACCATAGGGGAGATCTGTAGAATCAGATTCTCGATATGGACAAAAGTATCTGCAGACAATTAGGCAAGCGCTTCAACCAGCTTTTTAAAATAGTAGTAAGCAAAGATAAATCACCTACACAAACTTTAGACATTTATTTTCTAAAATATCCCTGTTCTTACGAGATGGCCCGCACAATCCGCTTTGACAGTTGGGGAATTGAGCCTATCGGTTCTGTTGGGGTAAATGTCGGGATAATTACTTCCCTCACGTACGAACAAACAACCACTTTATTAGGGTAAAAAACATAAATAGAAAAGACCGTTTCTTGTATCGCTGTGTCGAGTTAAGAGTCTCGAAGTTAAGTCGTTCTTCTCGCGGTTTCTCTGCGGAAACTCGCGCATCCCTTACTCCCTCCGGTGTAGGCAGTAAGCGCGAAAAAATCGTAAATAGAATTTAAAATTGAAATAGAATGCGCTAACAGGTTCTTCTCATCCTGTTTCCTGGGAGCAGTTTCAACTTGTCAATTTTGAAGATTTAGACCCTAATTATTATAATAAAAGTATTGCCATCCAGCTCTCAGAGGAACTTGTTAATTGTAACACTCTCTATAACTCAAATTTAGGTAGAAAACTTATATACTTTGGATCAACAACAAAGGAAAAGATGAAATCAACGAGAACCCTATTTTTGACTAGTACTCCCTTCCTTTACTCTTTAAAAAATCTACTCCACCTATATGCATGGGCTAAGAGAATGAAATCTATTCCTCTCATGAATATATTAGACATGATGCTTGAGTCCAAAGCCGCCATCCTGCCAGAGGGTCTAACAATCTCCGGCTTAGTATCAGAAATACCCGAAATTTATTCAGGGCACGCGGGCCATAGGTTCCATTCAATTGGAGAATCATCAGGTGCGATGACAAACATAACCCCTACAATCTCAAGTCATATAAGATTTAGTACTAGTTCTTTCATTGATTACACAAGAACCGGACTAGATTACAACATCTTTTACCAGGCAACAATCTTATACTTTAATACATATGTAAACAATATGTTCATAACACCTCAATTTGCAAAGAAATTTCCTCAATACAGAGGAATATTATTCTGTCCAAAATGCACACATGAAATGTTTGACCACAATGTTGTATTTACACAATCGTTACCTCAGGATCAGCTAGATACATCAAAGATCCCTGAAGAGAGAAATCAAGGCCTTTATTCAAAAACATCTTACAGATATGATGAATTGTTAACAGCACTGTCATTATCAATAGGACAATCTTTTGCTTCTGATGTTGACAAGTTTTATATCAGCCATCTGGCAGATAGACAAGTATTAGGGGTAAGCAACACTATAGATTTCAAAGCAATGTTAATATAGTAGAGCTCCGATATGCATGTCCATCACTTGTTCTCTGTGGACTTTTCATCCATTAAATTTATTTATTTTTCATTTTTTAATTGAAACTCGGGTTTATAATTTTATTTCTGTAGGACTTTTATTACATTTTTTTGAGATTTCTCAAAGAGAGAGAAGTTTTTTTCATGAAAAAAACCCGAGTCATGCTACGTTACTTAAAGGGACATCCAGGAGAATTAAGGTCATTGCGAGAATGACGGAAACCACATTGTGTGTTCCTGTTTTCAATGGCGATGCCCTAAGGGCGGGTAACTACGTGCGCTTCTTTACAAGAAGGGCAACGTCTTACCCTGCTCGCCAGTCCGGTCCGTCTCAGGCTTCGGACTTTGTTGGGTTGCTGGAGGACTTGGAAAGTCCCGTCGCAGCCCTCCTTCCCCTAGTTCGAGTGCCGGTTTTCCCGGTTTATACGGGTAAACCGGGTAGGAAGCGAATCGCTTCCACTTGTAACGCATTGTGCTGCGCCTTTATCAGCGTATGGCCGTCCTGTCAATTTGATTTGACGGCCAATGTTGCCAACTGCCGTGCGATGGCCGGCCTAAGAGACATTGTCTCCTGGGTCTTGCGCGCGTACGGCGGTAACGGAGAGGCCTTCGTCGCCAAGTCCCTTAAGGGGCTGGCGGCATGGCTTCGTTTCCTGGCTGGCAACCAGCTACATGCTAAACCTCCCCCTCTGCTGCGCTTCCCCTTCTCCAATGAAGTGGGGGAAGTCTCGCCGGATTTGCTCTTCCGAGGTAGCATTGCTAACTCGGCGAAATGCCAGAAGTCGCTGTTGCGATTTTCTCGCTTCGCCAGAGCGCTGCCAGCTGGCGGGGGGTGGGCCGTGGAAATTGCCTTGCGCGAACATCGTCGCGAGGCTACCTCTTGCCCCCCAGTCTTGCCCGCACTTGCAGACCGCTTCTTTGAAGTGGTCCAAAAAGTGACTAAGGACAAGTTGGAAGGGCTGGAGGATCCCGGATTCACCCTTTCAAGCAGTGCTTGTTTGGAGAGAACCCGCGCCTGAGGGGTGCGGCGGAAGAAATTCGAGTGCAATTACGCAACACGTTTCCGGACCTGGACACCCGTGTCTTCAATGAAGACGGGTCGACCAATTTCGTATTGTTGAACCCTGACGGCACTATTCGTACCGGGGGCCAGCTTTACTCTTCCAGAGTGGAGCGTTTTAAGCACCCGGTGACGGGATTACCGATGAGCACCGGTATCTTGACAGGCTGGTCCACCACGTTTGTGTGGAACAGGCCTTCGGCTTACCAGCTCCTATCTCTGTCCCTACTTGGGACGAGGCAGAGCCGGAGATCTCTCTTCCAGAGAGATACATGCCGACCCACAAGGTGATCTGCGTCCCTGATAGGGGCGCGTTCAAAGTGAGGGTCATAACTGCCGGTCCGGCTGCATTGCAGTCGTTAGCTCACCAGGTACGCAAGGTCCTTTACCGGACCGTCCTTCCCTTCTTGCCCACACGGTGGGCTTTGGTGGATGGCGGTCTACGTAAGTTCCTCAACCAAGTGGCATTGCCACCCGGTGCGGAACAGATGGGTTTAGGACCCTGGGTGGCGCTATCATATGACATGAAAGCAGCCACTGATCGATTCCCGCATTATCTCATAGAGAGCATCAATGATGCAATCGAATCCAATCTTACAGCGGTTCAGCGCGCCTCCCCAAATTGGGTGGCACATCGCAGCCTCTCGGGGCCGCAGAAGCTGAACTACGGGGATGAGGAAAATGAAGATATTATTATTTCTTCCTGTGGGAACTTGATGGGCACCGCCCCTAGCTGGTCACTGCTTAATCTGTTCAACTATTCGTTGTTCAGAATTGCGTGGTCCATTTGGAGCGATCGTGCCCTACGGAGAAGGTATCCTGAGTTGGTCTCCGCCACCGCTTCACGGTCCGATAAGTATCGTACCCCAGCGGTTTGGCGGAAGTTATTACAGGTCACCCGGCTGGTGATCGGTTCAGAGGATGAGCTGAAACATTGTTTTGGCTATCCTCGGTCTCTCCCGAAGTTTAACACATTGTGCGCACTATGTGGAGATGATCTGGCTGCTGTTTGCCCGTTAGGGGTCGCTGTCGTTTACGAGCTTCTTTTGGAGCTGGCGAACGGTCGTGCTTCCCCAGGCAAACATTATATACAGCCCTTCCGGCCGGGCTCCTACATGCTATTAGCAGAGGAGTTCCTTTCTATAGGAGAATTACAAGAAACGATTAAAGAAATAGAATCAGGAAATTTTGATATGGACAACGATATTGTATTTTTAACAAGAAAAGAAAGGGAATTAGGATCCGACGGTGGAAGAACTTACTGCTCTCAAACATTTAGACAACGTTTGCAACAGACTGTATGTGAAGGCAATATCAAAAAGAGCATTTTTCCATATTTCCCTCAACAAACCATGTCCGATTCTGAATTAGCAGAATTAGCAGAACAAGAAGGTAGCAAGTATGTTGAAAGTCCAGAAAGAAAATGGAGAGATTTTCAACTTCGACTTAGAAAAATGGAACCAATTTCAACTAGCCCCTTCTGTTGATCCCATTGCAAATGATATCAATGATTTATTTGGTTTTAGACATCTTTTCTTAGACGCGCATAACTGGTTACAACGTTGTTATGTGTTGCGGAATAACAGACTCACTCCACCTAGAATATCATTTGATCAAATAAGGCCACCTAATTATAGAACTGCCAGGCATGGTCAAGAATTTTTAGAACAGACCAATTTCATAACAAACACAGAAGATTCCAGAAATTATCTTCCCGAGATAGGAGAAAACTGTCATATAGGACAACTAGGGGGATTAGAAGGCATGAAACAGAAATTATGGCATAATGGAACATCATGCACATTTCTTCCTGCAGCAGAAATGCACAGATTAAATGTAAACTTAATGGAATCCGCTGACAAACAAACTCTGGCTCTAAAATATAGACCATCTCAAAGACATAGAACCTCAACAATTAGAGAGGAGTTCTTGAACACTCTAGACTCATTGTTCAAAGGACAAGGACTAAGACTAAAACAAGAAAAAACATGGGTATCCACAAGATTATTTGGGTATGGAAAGAAACGGTGGTTATACGGAATACCTATTTCCAACGGCACAAAGAGAGCCATGAGAATTATTTCGGAAGAAAATGACGGTGTACCCTCTATATGAATCCTCTGTGAATCCTCTGTGAATCCTCTATATGTTTACTAGCTACATCAACAGAAAATATAGCCACATATACTCAAACTGCAGATACGGCTTTTATTATAAATCTTATAGAACTATTCATACTGATTTTCCGGAAAAGAATCTTAGATCTCGAGGTCATAAAAAATGTAGTAAATCTAGACGAGAAGATATCTCTGCTAGCCTGCATTTCATTCTGGCCAAACATACTGGGTGGATTACCCATTTCATCCTACGCTAATCATAATATTCGAGGTCTAGATGATAAACTTACATTATGGCTGAATCTATATAAAACAGTTAGAAATCAACAAATTAATCCTCATCTTTGGAAATGTATAATGCAGTTAGTTCCACTTGTCCACAGGAAGGAGAAAGATTATAAAAGATTAATTGAAGACATTTTTTCATTAAATATCCCTACTTTACCTGTAGCTAACCTAATAATTAAAGATATTGTCCAAGAGTATATACCTATTTATGCAACAAACCCAGAGATAAAAAAGATTTTAGCCCTTGATATCAGTGAAACTGAGGCACTAATAGACTACTTAATGTCAATGAACCCACCGGATTCACCTATCATACATGAAATATTTCGTAATTCTAATACAGGAACTATAAAGAATCTCCAAAATAAATTAACTAATGTTTAATCCATCATAAAGATAACACAAGAAGACCATAGGGGAGATCTGTAGAATCAGATTCTCGATATGGACAAAAGTATCTGCAGACAATTAGGCAAGCGCTTCAACCAGCTTTTTAAAATAGTAGTAAGCAAAGATAAATCACCTACACAAATTTTAGACATTTATTTTCTAAAATATCCCTGTTCTTACGAGATGGCCCGCACAATCCGATTTGCTCTTCCGAGGTAGCATTGCTAACTCGGCGAAATGCCAGAAGTCGCTGTTGCGATTTTCTCGCTTCGCCAGAGCGCTGCCAGCTGGCGGGGGGTGGGCCGTGGAAATTGCCTTGCGCGAACATCGTCGCGAGGCTACCTCTTGCCCCCCAGTCTTGCCCGCACTTGCAGACCGCTTCTTTGAAGTGGTCCAAAAAGTGACTAAGGACAAGTTGGAAGGGCTGGAGGATCCCGGATTCACCCTTTCAAGCAGTGCTTGTTTGGAGAGAACCCGCGCCTGAGGGGTGCGGCGGAAGAAATTCGAGTGCAATTACGCAACACGTTTCCGGACCTGGACACCCGTGTCTTCAATGAAGACGGGTCGACCAATTTCGTATTGTTGAACCCTGACGGCACTATTCGTGCCGGGGGCCAGCTTTACTCTTCCAGAGTGGAGCGTTTTAAGCACCCGGTGACGGGATTACCGATGAGCACCGGTATCTTGACAGGCTGGTCCACCACGTTTGTGTGGAACAGGCCTTCGGCTTACCAGCTCCTATCTCTGTCCCTACTTGGGACGAGGCAGAGCCAGAGATCTCTCTTCCAGAGAGATACATGCCGACCCACAAGGTGATCTGCGTCCCTGATAGGGGCGCGTTCAAAGTGAGGGTCATAACTGCCGGTCCGGCTGCATTGCAGTCGTTAGCTCACCAGGTACGCAAGGTCCTTTACCGGACCGTCCTTCCCTTCTTGCCCACACGGCGGGCTTTGGTGGATGGCGGTCTACGTAAGTTCCTCAACCAAGTGGCATTGCCACCCGGTGCGGAACAGATGGGTTTAGGACCCTGGGTGGCGCTATCATATGACATGAAAGCAGCCACTGATCGATTCCCGCATTATCTCATAGAGAGCATCAATGATGCAATCGAATCCAATCTTACAGCGGTTCAGCGCGCCTCCCCAAATTGGGTGGCACATCGCAGCCTCTCGGGGCCGCAGAAGCTGAACTACGGGGATGAGGAAAATGAAGATATTATTATTTCTTCCTGTGGGAACTTGATGGGCACCGCCCCTAGCTGGTCACTGCTTAATCTGTTCAACTATTCGTTGTTCAGAATTGCGTGGTCCATTTGGAGCGATCGTGCCCTACGGAGAAGGTATCCTGAGTTGGTCTCCGCCACCGCTTCACGGTCCGATAAGTATCGTACCCCAGCGGTTTGGCGGAAGTTATTACAGGTCACCCGGCTGGTGATCGGTTCAGAGGATGAGCTGAAACATTGTTTTGGCTATCCTCGGTCTCTCCCGAAGTTTAACACATTGTGCGCACTGTGTGGAGATGATCTGGCTGCTGTTTGCCCGTTAGGGGTCGCTGTCGTTTACGAGCTTGTGGGGGTCATGCCTCACGCCTGTGTGTTCTCCTCTCTATTACTCTCTATAGTTGTTAAATTAAAAAGAAGAATCGGCAGAGACCGCCGAGAAAAGAGAAGAGAGCACACGGCTAGCGAAAAAGAAGAGAGTTTTCTTTGACATTATTGACAGTCCATGATGACTGCGGATTCCGCTCTCGACCACGACTCGAAAAAGTTGTATTTTTGAATGTTGTGAGATTTTTAAGAGGTGTAAACCTTAAGTTCTGTTTGTATCCCGTTAATATTTGTGTTTACGTGAAGTAAAGTTGTTAACGTTACACGTCTGCATTTTATTTATCGGAATTTCGTAACGAATTCCACATTGGTGACCCCGACGTGATATGTCGTCTTAGCAGCGTGTTATTGGACAACTGGATATCCATTCAGCAGCGTCCGATTGTTCGGAATGTGAGAGTCTTATCGTTGGGATGTTTAAGGTCAGTCTCCTAATTTAACCTCAATCAAGCGGCGTGGTATCGGCGTTGCTGTTCAGCGTACCGCCAAAATTTGACGTCCGTCAGCCGTCTTTCAGCCGATAGCTGAGTGCTGACATTTGACAGAGCCGTTCCTTTGTCGATGTTCACTGCGTTCGGTAGTCGAAGTTGACAACACCACTCCATCAGCGTTCCGGACCTACTCTGAGTGGATCTGGAGTGGATCGCTCGCCGCAGCAGTGAACGAAGCGCTTATCAGGTGAATGAACTGTTTACTTGTTATTTGTGATCAGCTGTTTACTTTCATTAGTGAAGTGGCTTGGAAATATTTTTCATTTAATTGAATTTTTAAGGAAATTCGCTAATTAATTCGACTGTGGATCAATTAGTATTTAATAAACTGTGGATACCATCAATATTTTTGCGCTCAATTAGCTGATAATTAGTAAAGCAAGCGTATGTTTGATATTTTCCCACAATAAATAATTTAATGGTAGTAATAAAATAATAACGATTGTTATTTCAATATTTGTGCGTTGGTATTTGTAAATTTTTATTACTATTGAACCGATACCAAAATAATATTTATTTATTTTTGAATTATTTTTAATTGATATTCATTTCTTTAGTTATTTTAATTAATATTTGTTTTGACTTTTATTCCTGAGAGGGATCGTTTACGTTCATTATTGCGATTCTCAACGTTTGTTAATTTTGTGCGTCGTCTTTGATTTCAATATGCCTTTTACGGACGAACAAATCCAAGCAATTGTTGACCAGTCCAAGGCAGCTCAGGAACGCGTTGCGGGTCTTGAGGCTCAGTTAAGAGAATCGTCGCGGCACGTTGATAGTTATCGGGTTCCGAAGATTCCTACGTTTTTTCGAGCGGATCCCGCGTTGTGGTTTATGCAGATAGAAGTCTCCTTTCGTAATGCCCGAGTTACCGCTGAAGCCACTCAGGCTGATATAATGCTCGCCGCGCTCGACGTTGAAGTTCTTAGTAGCGTAAAAGATATAATTGCTGAGTCTCCAGCACCCGGCGATATTTACACTCGGTTAAAGAATCGAATAATAAAGACATTTGCGGTATCAAACGAAGCGAAGTTAAGGCAACTTTTAAAAGGTCAGGTGTTGACCGACGGTAAGCCTTCCCTAATTTTGAGTAGGCTTCGCAATCTAAACGTGAATAACGCGATTGATGATTCGGCTCTCAAGTCTCTGTTCCTTGAACAGTTGCCTGAGCAACATCGCGGCATTGTCATGTCCAACGCCCCCACGCTAGACGCCATGGCGGAGTTGGCTGATCAGCTCGCGGATATTTCGAGTACGGCCTACGGCGGCCCCCAGGTCAGTTCGATCAACGCCGAAATTCACCCCTCTCAAGAGCAGATCCAATCGCTAATAAAGGCAGTTCAGGACCTGACAACGAAAGTAGATTTGTTGGAACGGGAATCGCGGTCGCGCCGCAAATCTAGGTCGCGCACGCGCAGTAAATCGGGGGAAGATAAGGGAGCGAAGCTATGTTACGCGCATCAGAAGTACCCACAGAACCCTACCTCGTGTCGCAGCTGGTGTTCTGAAAACGCCAACTGGAAAGCAAAAAACTAGTAGCTCTCCCCCGCGCGGAGGCCGTAGGGGAGGGGAGCGATATTTCTCACCGCCTCCATATTCGCGACAAAAAGTCCGGGCAATGGTTTCTGGTGGACACCGGTGCCGATATTTCGTTGGTCCCCGCTGACCCAAAAATAAAACTTGCGCCTGCTAAATTTAAACTCTTCGCGGCTAATGATACGCGCATAGATACCTACGGCGAATCGTGCCGCGAGTTAGACTTTGGTTTGCGTCGTCCCATTAAATGGAATTTCTGCATTGCGGCTGTACCTTATGCCATCATTGGTGCAGATTTTTTGAACCATCACGGTTTAGTGGTTGACTTGAAGAGGCGCCGCCTTACTGATTCGTCAACCGGTTGTTTTGTCCTTGGTAATTTTAGTGCGGCATCGACAAGTTCGATTTATTGTTTTGATCCGAACACATCGGTTTCTCGATTGTTAGCAAAGTATCCCGAAATCACTGGTACGCTTCCATTACCCCCCACCAGGGATAAAAATGTCTTTCATCATATTTTAACAAATGGACCCCCCGTGGCGGAGCGTGCTCGGAGACTCAACCCTGAGAAACTGAAATGTGCGAAGGCCGAGATTAAGGCACTCGTCGAGGCCGGTATTTGTCGACCTTCGAGTAGTCCTTGGGCCAGTCCTGCTCAGATGGTGCTCAAAAAGGACGGATCGTGGCGTCTTTGTGGAGACTATAGACGACTCAATGCCGTCACAGTCCCTGACCGGTACCCGACCCCACATTTACATGACTGTTCACTGAATTTAAGCGGCAAAACAATATTCTCATCCCTGGACCTCCGAAAGGCATACCATCAGATACCGATGGCCCCGGAGGATATCGAAAAAACTGCCATTATCACCCCATTCGGTCTATTCGAATATTTATTCATGACTTTCGGGTTACGTAATGCCAGCCAGTCGTTCCAACGATATATAAATCGAGCATTGGGCGACTTGGATTATGTTTTTATATATATCGACGACATTTTAGTCGCATCGTCCTCTCCAGATGAGCATTTCCAACATCTGGATGTGGTTTTTCAAAGGCTCCGTGATTTTCACCTTCGTTTGAACACAGATAAATGTGTGTTCGGTGTACCGGAATTGGAATTCCTCGGTTATTGGATTGGTGCGAAGGGGATTAGCCCTACCAGTAAAAAGATCGAAGCCATTAGTAACATGGAGAAGCCCAAAACGATCATGGCACTACGACGTTTCTTGGGCATGATAAATTTTTATCGCCGATGTCTTCCCGGCGCCGCTACGATCCTAGCTCCGCTTAACTCCTATTTGGTAGGTTCTGTAAAGAACGACAAACGGGAAGTAGTATGGACTCCGGAGGCCACGGAAGCATTTTGTAAAATTAAACACGAGTTGGCAAATGCCACCCTGTTGGCTCACCCCCGCATCGACTCCGAAATCAGAGTCGTTACTGATGCGTCAGATTTTGCCATGGGTGCAGTTTTAGAGCAGTGGTCCAGTGGCAGTTGGGAACCCTTAGCGTTCTTTTCCCAAAAATTTTCAGCTGCCCAGATGCGCTACAGCGCCTACGACCGCGAGCTTACCGCTATCTACGGCGCAATTAAATATTTTAGACATTTTTTGGAAGGTCGCCTGTTTAAGGTATACACAGACCATAAGCCACTCATTTACGCGTTTAAACAACGCAGTGACAAAGCGTCACCCCGCCAATCGCGACAACTATCGTTTATTGCTGAGTTCACTACGGAGTTTGTTCACCTCGGTGGCTCCGAAAATACAGTGGCTGATTCTCTATCGCGTATCGATGCTCTCAGGTTTCCACTGGAATTTAGCTTGAACGAACTAGCCGAGCAGCAGGTCGCTGACGAACAACTGAAAGCTATTAAAGCATCTCAGGACCACCCATTGAAGCTTCAGAAGATTCTTTGGGGGCCAAATAATATCGCTTTGGAGTGTGAGATCTCTGGGGAGGTCATACGACCATATGTACCCGAGAAACTACGTAAGAGAGTTTTTCATACAGTCCATTCCCCGGCTCACCCGAGCGCGAGAGTTACAGACCGCCTAGTTCGCCAGAGATACGTCTGGCCGAATATACAAAAAGACGTCAAGTCTTGGTGCAAGACTTGCATTGAGTGTCAGGCATCAAAAGTGACTAGACACGTGAGGACTCTCCCAGAGCAACTTGTTGCTCCGGATGGCCGTTTCGACCAGGTCCATGTGGACATAGTTGGTCCTCTTCCGCAGCAGGAAGGTTATACTTACTGCCTCACTATGATAGACAGATTTTCACGATGGGTCGAGGCTACCCCAATTAGGGACATGTCGGCTCAGACCATCGCTCGTGAGTTCTTTAACACTTGGATATCCAGATACGGATCTCCAAAGTGCATAACAACAGACCAGGGCACTCAATTCGAGTCCCGGCTGTTTCAAGCGTTATTGAAGTTGATTGGAACGGAGCGGATTCGCACCACTCCATATCACCCCCAATCAAATGGGTTAATCGAACGGTGGCATCGGGTTTTTAAGGCCGCGGTAATGTGCCATACCAAAGATAACTGGGTTCGCATTCTACCAACCGTGCTGTTGGGGTTGAGAGCCCATACGCGTTCCGATACCGGAGCATCTCCGGCGGAATTTTTATTAGGAACTACCCTACGTCTCCCTGGTGAATTTTTCCTTCCGGAAGATATTTCACCAGACCCCAATT